TGTGGTGAGCACAGCATAATGTATAAACTGGTTGAATGACAACCTTTTACTTCTGAAACTAACGTAACACTGTGTCAACTATATTCAAATAAGGAAGAAAGAAAAGAAAAGAAAAAAAGAAAAAGAGAGAAAGAGGAAGAGAAGAAGGACGGAAGGATGGGGGGGGAGGGAGAAAGGGAAGGAGGGAGGGAGGGAAGAGAGGAAGGAAGGATAATGACCTCATTTACCATCCAGTTTACACTACCCACTACCCCTCCTGAGCCTGGGGATTCCCTTAGTCTCTCTTGAGTGGTAAGAAGTCCTTACTCTCCCAGTCAGTATAACATCTCCTTTAACTGGTATTACAGGCTAGCCCACAAGGCTGGAGCAAGGTCTCTACTATTTTCGGAATGTCCTGAGAGCTCTGGGCTGGAGTCCTTAGTTCTTCACCAACTTTCTTTTCTTCACTTTCTTGATTTATTCTGGTTAGATAAAGCCAGCCTACTTTTGATCAAAGACTTGGTTTTACTTTATTTTTTTTCCATTCTGACATTCTTTTTTTTTTTAATCATTTTTTTTAATTTATTTTCAGCATAACAGTATTCATTGTTTTTGTACCACACCCAGTGCTCCATGCAGTCCGTGCCCTCTCTAATACCCACCACCTGGTTCCCCCAACCTCCCACCCCCCACCTCTTCAAACCCTTCAGATTGTTTTTCAGAGTCCATAGTCTCTCATTGTTCACCTCCTTGGTTTTACATTGCTCACCTGCAGCCGGTCTTCTCCCTCAAGGTCTCTCACTTCTGTCTTCGTCCCTTGCCAAGTCCCAGCCTCCGACTCAAAGAAATCACTGAGTTGTTGGCGCCCCCTAAAGAACACATTTATGTCTGAAGTTAGCTCTTTAGTAACTACACTTTTAGCAGGATTTAAGTCTGGAGTCTCTTGTTCTTTTTTTAAAATTGATTAGTAATTTTTCAAAGTAAATGGACAGGTTAATGTGGTTAAATGCAAAAAGTAAATGTGGTTAAATGCAGTATATAAAAAATAGTGTTCTGCTTTACCTCTGAACACTTAAAAATTTTAGATATGAATTTGTGAATACAGAATGTACAAATCACTTACTTTCTGTTGTCAGTATAGACTAAGGTAGGGGGAGGTAAAAGAAGCTAAAGTCCTGAAATCTATTAATAAGATTTTCAGTCCTCTCATAGCATGATTTTTATATACAGGACAAAGTTTTAGCTATTTGCCAGTCAAATTAATTCCCTAGAATATAAACAGAAGCATCTGGATTTTTGTTTTTATTTTTGTCGCTAGGGAGAGAAAAAACTTGTGCAAAACACAGGGATCATTTGATAAATATATCCAGAATCGAGAGAACATTTGACTTAATAGAGAGTGTTTTGATTTGAAAATAAGAATTTGTTTCCTTAAAGAAATTATCTAGTACATAATTTATTCATAAAATAATTGTTTTCGTTTTTTCACACTGACATTATTTCAGGGTCTTTCTTTTAAAATTTAAATAGGACTACGGAACCATCATAAATGTGAGGATTTGGCTATTTCTTAGCCCGCAGCCTGATCTATTTAATCAGAGCCCCCAGCTCCTTTGGCCCAATGCCTTCTTTGGGAATGTGTTTTCACAAGCACTAACTGAACAACCTCATTAAGGCAAAGTCATCCTTTTAGGAACCAAGTATCAACTTTAAGAGGGAAGAGCAAGTAGTAATATGGCCACTCCAGCCCAGTGTAGGAACCAGGTACATACACTATAATGGCCACTCCCATCTCTCAGGGTTATGTGTTCAGAAACTTCCCATAGTAAGAGAATTTGCAGTTGAAAAACAAAATTTCAGTGGAAAAGTGGAGAGGAAGAACCGCAGTCACAATGAACACATGAAAACTTGTATAAATATTAAGGTCACCCAAATAGAAAAAAAATAACAACAGCGTCTAAAATGTAACACAGGTGATATTTTATGTATTTTGATTTTGTACATTTAAGGCACCATGCTGTTAGGTGTTTTTTTCCCCCCGCTACCCCTCCCACACCAGAAAGCTGCCCAGGTTCTCCCTCCTTTGCAGTAGCAGAGAGACATTTATAGATATACTTTGCTTTCTTGCAATAATGTGCCCGTTTTCTTCCTATTCCTCTGCTCAAATGTTTAGTTCCTTTCTAATTTTGTGATCTCTTTCTCTGAACTCCAATCTGGTCTCAGAGACATGGAGTAATTTATAATCCCCAGGTGAAAAAAAGCTTTGGGAGATCTATTTGAACTTACCTGGCAGACCTGAGTAGTTTAGTTCTTAAGCCCCAAGTTTAAGAGTTATGTCACTTGGGGTTTGCCTGAAATCCCCACCAGAGCATACACAGCTAAGTGACATTTATACATGGCCTGGCTCTGGCACTGTTAACACGGCCAAAAGCCAGACTCCTGACAGTTTACCCTGCCTCCACTTTCTTCACACCTCCCATGGTTGCATGCCAAAAACCTCTATTCCTCCTCTGCTCATCATTCTGCCTCCTCTTTTTAATTCCCAAACCCTTCTCCCTCCCATTTTCTCCCTATCTCCAAGAAAAATGGCGATCCATTTGAATATACTTGAGTGGAAATTTGTTGAAGTGGCTGAAAATATATATGGAGGGAAGTAAATCTGCTTATGCTTACAGTTTACCAAGGGTAATTTGCATTTGGCCATATTGTCCACATATAAGTACTTGGACATCGGCCTTACGATCTGAAGAACCTGTCACCATGCACCTCAGAGGAGTCTGGGTAATGTATGTGCTTGGAACAGGCTTTGTTACCATAGGGAGGCCAAGGACAACACATGAGACTTTCTGAGCACAAACTCTGCAGTCCTCTGTGTACTCTGTGTTTCTAGTGTCCACTCAGGAGCACAGGGATGTTGGAGGGCCCCAAGCCTCTGAGGTGGCATGCTCCAGCCTTCTGTATGGAAGGGCTGGGCCTTGAAAGGAAGTGGCTGACGTGTGACCTCCCTTTCTTCACTTACTCAGGCATGACCATGCACCACTGTGGGTGAGGATTTGGGGATCTGGCAGCTTGCACCCCCTTCTGCACTGTTTCATCTGCCGCTTGTTCTCACTCTGCCCACTTTCTTCAATATCCTTTAGATAACCTCATTTGATTTTTTTCCAAGTGGGGTCTACACCTACGATATGATATTGGCATTTATGAAAACAATAGTCATACAAGCACCACATGTCCTGTTTATTATCTTCTCTATCCTCCAGTAAACACTGCCCTGTCTGTCTTCATGTAGTGTCCATCTTGCTTAGCTTATGAAGGGTTAGCCACATAGCTTATTAACACATGCCATCTTGGAGTTCTGGCTTCCTGACCCATTCCATCCATGGCCTCAGCCATCACTCAGCCCTTGTCCAGCTAGCCTGCTTCCCTCTGGGCCCTGCATGAAGCTATTTTCCAGCCAAAGCCCCATGCCACAGGAAATGCAGTCACCTGTAACATCTCTTAATTTTTCTCTTGGCAGGTGAAAAATGAATTCATTCCATCTACCCCCTAATTCTCAACTTCATAAATTACAGCAGACTTCTTTTGCTGAGTACGGAGCCAGGAGTCCTCTCTCTACAAATCTTCACTCTACAGCATTCATCTCAGCTCCCCACCCTCTCCTTCCCCATGCTGCTTGCACCCACCCTCCAATAAACCCACCTATTATGTATCCTGAAGAGGTATCATTTTGTATCATTTTGTCTTTTATCCTTTTGATTATTACTTAAATTACCCATTTATCCTTCTAATGCCATAGGCTAACTCCTAAGCAGTCTTAACATCTTCTCAACAAAGCGAGTCAGTCTCTCCCTACAGAAGAGTTCTATACCACTGTCCTAAGAATAGAATACTCTACTCACATGTGCAGCCTCCTATAACTCCTTCAGCTTGAGTTTTATCACATTTTCTAATTTTCAGTGCCTCATCATGCCCAAATTGCCTCCTGGGATGTGGAGGGGCAGGAAGTAGCTCCTAGAGGAGGAAAAGGCCTTAAAAGCTGGGCATGGCAGGGGATGGAAGCAAAACAGTGGAGAGGAGCGGAGAAGTTCAAAGAAGACTGTTGGCAAGGTCCCAGTGTTGCTGCCTCGAGGGCTATCAATGCCTCCCCATGCCCTATATCCTAAGAGAACTGTGTGACCCTGGAGACCTTGATGAGTCAGGATGGAATGTAGAGTCTCAAGATAACTGCTGCCACCACCACAGAGAGCCTTCCAGGCCCAGCCCAGCCAGCGAAGCCAGACCCATGAGTGCCCAGGAGATTCCTTCAAGCCCAGAATGATACCCATCGGAGAGGCTAGGCCTGATGAGAGATTCTGAGGATAGGTGGTATGAGGAAGAACTGCTTGTTCCAAACAGAAGAAGACTTCAGCAATTCCAGGAACTCATGATTCTGAGACTCAGTCCTGCAGGGGGTGGTGACTGCCTGGAGTGGGGCTGGACTCTTCTGGGACTCAGGGCCTTGCAGCTCTGACCCCAGTCGTGGCTAGTATTTTTGTGATTTGGAATTAGAAAAAAAGGGGGGGGATAAGGAATGGTGTGTGTGTGTGTGTTCTATCTTTGGTGATACTCAAACAGGGAGTCAGTAAGTAGGAATATTTCAACTGTAGAGGGATGTTCTTATGCTCACAAACACTACTCAATATGAATACTAGAATGTCTTGCATTTTTAAAAAAGATTTATTTATTTATTTTTAGAGAGAGGGAGAGAGTGTGTGAGTAGGGGAGGAGTCAAAAGGAGAGGGAGAGAATCTCCAGCAGACTTTGTGCTGGGAACAGAGTCCACCCTGGGGCTTAATCTCAGGACCTCAAGATCATGACCTGAGTCAAAACCAAGCATTGGAAACTTAACCTACTGGCACCCCTTGAATGCTTTGCATTTAGAGCAACATGCATTTGCTAAGAAAGCCACCTGGTAGTCAAAATCATCATCATGAGCTTTCTGGACCCTTCAAAATTAACACGAAGTTTTGCTGTCTCTGTAGGTCCTCAAGTATGTTCCACATAATGAAGCACAGTCACTACAGCTCCCGATTCGGCAGCAAACTTGGATTGCAGTGCATCGGAATGCATGAAAATGGCATCATATTTAACAATAATCCAACCCTCTGGAAAGCCATTCGTCCTTTCTTTACAAAAGGTAATCAGATGCTGGTGACCTTCTGCTCTTTTGTCTGTAAATGAGCCCCTTTTCTGGAACTTAAATTCTGCTGCATCACTTACATTGAAATAATAAGATATGGGAGGCACTATTCTAAGTACTTGATATTTTAATCCCACAACAACCTCATGGGGTAAATACTCTTGTCACCTACATTTTACACATAAGAAAGCTGAAATAACTTACCCAAGGTCCCCAAATTAGTAAATGGTGGCCCAGAAGACAATGCCAGTGCCTACATTTTTAACAAACTCCATTCTTCCTGTTGATACACAAAGCAATTCCACAGACATGAAGAAGAGCTACAGCTCTGTACTTAGGATCATTTCAATTAAGAATTTAGTGTTTCAGTCACATATTTGATTTAAACATAGCCAAACAATGTGTTCACTGAATCATTGACTGACGTCCTGGATGTTTTAACAGAAAGCAATTTGTGAATAAAACTAGAGAATTTTAGAACTAGGAAGGACTATATATGTCATCTCATCCAGTCTCTGAATTTTATAGTTGGGGAAATGCAGTCCTAGAGAGGTTGTGAATTTTATTCAGGCAACATAGCAAATAATAGATGAGCAGAGACTTGGTCCCAAGGCTCCTTATCTAGACCCCTTTACTGCATTTCACTGGAAAATGAAGCAGCTGGAGAATACACACGGCCAGTCTTTGACATCAATATCAAGGAAGATAATCATGCCCTGTCAACACTGTCAGTGATAGAATCTGGGGCTAGATGGATCTTAGGCCTGACCATGCAACATTCTTCCCTCCAGCCAGCCTCTGTAGTGAACCTGGATGCCTCCCATGTGGCTATTTGGACTGGGAGAATCTATGCCGGACACAGCTGAGCATTGATTCTCTCTACAGAGTTGCCCATCACCAAGGCTGAGTACAACTCTACTATAGACCCCACTGTATTAATCTCCTAGTGCTGCTGTAACAAATTGCCACAAACTTAGTGAGTACCCAGAATACAATGATAGTCAAGACATGGTCCTTGCCCTCAGGGAATTTATAATAGGGGGAGGGGCAGATATCATATCACCAAATATTATCCTAGGTGATATATTATGCTAGAGGTGTGTGCAGAGTGCTACAAGACATAGAAAAAATGGGCCATCTAAAGTATTCTGAAGGGTCATGGGAGGTTTTTTCAGGAGCAGATGCTTGCAGTAAGTTTTGAAAGAAGATAAAAGCTATCTACATTAAGAAAGTTTGACAAGGATGCATTCCACAGAAGGAAATAACAGGATACTCCAAGACAGAGAAGGGTGGATCAGCACTGTATGTCCATAAGTAGGCCCTTGTGCCTGTGATGGACACATGTAGGCATGAGGCCTAGGGGAGGCACCAAGCTGAGTTTATCTCAAAAGTTACAATAAGTCATTCAAGATTTTAAGCAGAATGACATGAACATCTCTTTGTGACTTTTTTTAGATAAACATTGTATATAGAAGATCAGATTTTCTAATAAAAACATTATAAAACTACCCATATTAAATGCCAAAAATAGAGGTCTTTTAAAAAAAAAAAGTTAGAGGTCTAATTACTTATTAGAAGTTCCCTGCTGTGTCTGACATTTTTAGTAATCAATGAGAGTCCCAAGCATTTTTTTAAAGATTTTATTTATTTGAGAGAAAGAGAACATGAGTGAGAAGCAGAGGCAGAGGGAGAAGCAGACTCCTCACTGAGCAGGGAACCTGAAGTGGGGCTCCATTCCCCGGACCCTGAGATCATGACCTGAGCTGAAGCCAAACGCTTAACTGACTAAGCCACCCAGGCATTTCTTGACTCTCCCTTGAGAGTTATGTTTTTCATTAGTTTTCCTGATATAGCAGAAATTTGGAGTTACCCTATGACCCTGCAATTACACTGGGTATTTACCCCAAAGATACAGATGTAGTGGAAAAAAAGGCCATATGGGCCAAAGGGCCATATGCTCCCCAATGTTCATAGCAGCCATGGCCACAATAGCCAAACTGTGGAAAGAGCCGAGATGCCCTTCAACAGACGAATGGATAAAGAAAATGTGGTCTATATACACAATGGAGTATTACTCAGCCATCAGAAAGGATGAATACCCAACTTTTGCATCAACATGGATGGGACTGGAGGAGATTATACTGAGTAAAATAAGTCAAGCAGAGAAAGTTAATTATCATTTGATTTCACTTATTTGTGGAATATGAGGCATAGCATGGAGGACATTAGAAGAAGGAAGAGAAAAAAGAAGGGGGGTGAAATTGGTGGGGGAGATGAACCATGAAAGACTATGGACTCTGAGAAACAAACTGAGGGTTTTAGAGGGGAGGGGTGCGTGGGGATGGATGAGCCCAGTGGTGGGTATTAAGGAGGGCACAGACTGCATGGAGCACTGGGTATTATATGCACACAATGAATTATGGAACACTACATCAAACAATAATGTTGTACTGTATGGTGACTAAGATAACGTAATAAAAAAAAAGAAATTTGGGAGTACATTTTGGTATCTAAAGTAGTAACATTAATGAAGGCTTTGATTCCCTGGGCTTACCTATGGAGAGATAATGAAGAGCAGCCTAGGCAAATGGCCCATCCTGGAGAGATGAAGGTGGAGGGGCAAAAAATAGCTTGTATTTCCTGAAACTGCCAGAAGAGTTCTCCACAGTGAAGGAATTACGTTGATTACTTGCTCTACTTTTTTTTTTTTTTTTTTAACCTGGATAAGATTCAGTACTTTTTCACACATTTTAAAAATTAAAATTATATCCACATCAGACCACTGCCTATAAGCAATGATATTACATTTTGCTTATATGGTTGAAACGTGGCTTCCAGCTCTTGGACAGAGAGGCAAGTCATACATTGGTATAGGAGGAAACCACCAGTGATATTCCAAGCCAACCCTTCTGCACAAAGGGCTGAATCATTAAAGAATATTAAGGAATCCCACCTGGGAATGTGATAGAAAGTATGAAAATCAGAAAGTATGCTACCAACCCAACCTTCCTTTTTTATAGATAAGTAGAAATCTTAGGACTCTAGAACTGCTTACCAGGCTTCCTTTCTTATTTGCAAAGTCTGCCTTCAGGGGGCTCTTTTGTACAACTGATTTTTTTTTTAAAGAAAGAATTATGGCTACAAATTTTCCTAGGATTTTTCATTGCATTTCAAAAACTTACTTTAACAGTAAGTCTGAATAATAAAAGACATAAGTAGGAGAGATGGCTCTTAAAGAAAACTTAAAAAAAAAATAGGAGAAAGGAAGGCTTTAAGAGTTAAATTCTCTAGACAGATCATCTACCAACATGACCCACTAGCTACCCAGATGACCTGGAGCAGAGCCAGTTCACTCTGTCTTTACTCATTTATTCACCCATCCTTTCATTCGTTCATTCCTCTATTTGACAAATAGGATTTGAAGGCCACCATGTACTGTGGACTTGAAGGACAGTGCTAATAGCAGGCTGTCACTGCATTTCAAGAATTCCCAGCCAGTTGGGAAGACTGGTACACAAACAAAAATTTGCTTAGTTGTCACGACCTTGGCTGAGTAAAACAAATCTAGAAGTAGTCTGAAGAGAAACCGAAATTAACAGAAGAACACTCTGGGTAATTTCTAAGACTAGTGTTTTGAACTGCATAAACCACAATTAAACAGGAAGCACTTTAGATCAAATAGTCAAGGGCCAGTTTGAGTAGTTCGATAGCAATACCCTGCCACCTGTTGAAATATAAACATCTCCCTGGCCAAATCTAGACCTTCTTTAGAGAAATACATATACAATAAATATGGAAAATCATTGATGTGTGATTCACAACCATAAGAACTAAATGTTTCATTTGTAGTCTCTCAAGTGATTTGCCATAACATGAAGAAGAGTTTAATTTTGAATATTTTAAGATTTTCATTCATTCATTCATTCATTCATTCACTTTTCCCCATAAAGGTGATGCATGTTTGTAAAAAATTAGGAGAATGCAGAAAAGTATTCAAAAAGACATGAAAATTTCTGCCAAGTTATTGAATTAAAAAAATCATGTATGGTGAAACTCCACACAGAAAAGGCCAAACTAAGCTGATTGTGTGTGTCCCTAAGTTCATGTGACTCCCTCTCCGACATGCTCCCCTCAGCTTTGTCTGGCCCAGGCCTTGTGCGCATGGTGACCGTTTGTGTTGGATCCGTCCTCACGCATCTGGACAGGCTGGAGGAGGTCAGCAACGAACTGGGGTACATCGATGTGTTGACCCTCATGCGGCGTATCATGCTGGACACCTCCAACGTTCTCTTCCTGGGGATCCCCTTGGACGGTATGTGAGAACTGACAAGCTCCCCTTTATTGACTAAGGGGATGGAGGGGATGACAGACTCAAGGAGAGATAATGCTGCTTTTGTACATCACTCGTATTCAAACATCTCCAAGTATTCTTCTGATTTTTTTCCCCCTAGAGTGTCTGCCTTGCTCCTTTATAAGTTTCTGTAAGTAGGGACCATCTCCTCATTGCTCTGGGAAATATGATTCTACCCAGTCAAAATTTGACAAATATGATCAGTTCGTTTGGCCATGAATATACCCTACCACCAATCAAATGGATATATTTAACCAATTCCAAGCATTCTTGTGGGCACATGCACACACACACACACACACACACACACACATACACATGCACAGATATACATACATATATACATAAATATACATATATAGTCCTCCCTCAAAGCTACTAAGCATGAAAATTTTGACTGTCTGTACGATAATGGTGCTGGTGTTGAAGCTGCTGGAAATGATAAAAAGAGCTACTATTAGTTTAGTATCTACTATAAAAAAGTTGCTTTATATATGGAGTTTGTCATGTAGCATTATAACAACTCTTATAAGAATATCCCACTCAAAAAGCTACTCCCTTCGCTATACTACAGAAACAAATATTAAAACACATACACGCAACTCTATCACCACCAAAAAATAAACACTAATCAGTTGGGTTAATTCCATGCTGCTGTTGTCCAGCGTAATGTAATTTCCCCTGAATTCTAGCATATTTGCTGACTCGTGCATTCATTCAAAAAATATTTGCTAATTGCCTATTTTATGCTAGGCACTGTTCTAGGTTCTGGGGACTGAACAGTGAACAAGACAGATAAAGTCCTTGCCTTCAAGGTGGTCACATCCCAGTGGCAATATAAACAGAAACAAGTAAATATACATAATACATCAGGCAATACTAAGTGCCCTGAAGAATAAACGAAGCAGGGCAAGGGGACAGAAAGTGAAGAAGGAGGTGCATGGGGTGGGGGGAGACGGTGTGGCTATCCCAGAGACTGTTGTCAGGAAAGGATTGCACAGGGAGGACACCTGGACATCAGCCTATATGAAGGGAGATCGGGAGCCACATCCAAGTCTGAGGGAAGAACACTTCCGGCACGAGAACAGGGCCTCATTTTAACAATGGCCCAAGGCAGCTGAGCTGTAACACCTGCTGCCTCACTGGCCACATTTGGAAGAACAGATAAGCTATAAGCCTCCTTTTCTCCTCTCCAGCTCTGCTTACCTCATGTCCCCTGCTCTTTACTTACTCCCCACAAAAGTCATAGAAACCATGCCTGACTGTCATTTGGATGGGAGCCCCATTCAACTCTGAGTATTTTTAGTCACACCCATTGCTTCATCCCCTTCAGACAGGAACACTAATCCTGGCTGGCCTGTCCTACATGCAGCTTCCCAGTTTCTTGGTCTGAAAAAGTGATAACACTATATTACTCCCCTAGCAAGATTGTAAGGATTAAATGAGGTCTCTTTTGTAAAGCATTTTGCATGGTGACTGGTATTTAGCAGTTGAAAAGAAACGTCTGTTCCCTTCCTTCTTGCACAATTTGAAAAATGCAAGAGTTTTCTTTCCCCAAACATGCAATTTAATAAAGGATGTTCATTAGGAGTTGACTATGCATGAGGCTCAGGGTAAGGGATACTAAGATGAATTCTATACTCTGGATCAAGATGTAACCAGGAGAGAGTGATGTGGCTTTTTGCCCTCCCAGGTACCAGAATTGAGGCCAATGACACCCATAATTACTTGTGTCCCTCTTATTTCCCATAGTCCAAAAAAACCAGGAAGGAGTTGGACACTCAAAGAGGTGACATGAGATTCTAGGCTGTGTCTATAACACAAACTTGAAAACTTGCAAACTCTGGTTAACTTGGTTGATTTAGATGTCAAGCAGAATAAGTTAATGTTGGTTTGTCTAGTGGCATTCATATGGCTAAAACACCTACTAAAGCCCAGGGTGGCAAGAGACTCTATACAGGGGGACTTCTCTTCTCAGATAACTTTCTTGGGCTCACATTTTTGCTCAACTACTCTGCTCTTTGTTTTGTTTTTCCAGAAAGTGCCATCGTGGTTAAAATCCAGGGTTATTTTGATGCATGGCAAGCTCTCCTTCTCAAACCAGACATCTTCTTTAAGATTTCTTGGCTATACAAAAAGTATGAAAAGTCTGTGTAAGTAACACAAGTTTGGAAAACTTATCAGTGAGATTGGATTGACTTTGGGTTGTGTCTTTGCTATTGTTGGCCTCTTTGGCTAGCTTTCTGCTCTTCAGAACCCACAGGGGAGCTGTGGATGAAGTTGCTGATGAAACACTGTACAGCAATTTGGCTGCACGTGGTGGCCAGACCGGAGTAAGGGAGGCCTGAGGCCCAGGCAGCTTTTCAACAAGGGGACCAAGTGGGTGGTCTGAGAGCCCCATGTCTGGAATTAGGACATGGCAGTGTAGTTTCAGTTGAAGAGATGGGTTGGCTAAACCTATCATTATTATCTGTAAAAATTCTCTTTTCATATCTGGAAAGTGGAAACACAAAATCATTTTATAGCCCTGTTGCTTCTGAATAAATTTAATATAATTCAACTTGTAGGAATTAACAGTAGTCTCAAAAGAATTTTTTCACAATGAATATAATGGACTTCAACAAAATGTGTGATTTCCTTTTTTTTTTTTTTTTGGTCATATATATTAGGGGGATCCTGAAACTGTCATTAAATGGCTTTGCCTTGATTATAAACAAGTCTAGACAGAAACTGGACAAATGCTCAATGGCCTACAGGCTAAAGAATAGGTTTCTAGAGTAAGGAGCCAGCCACTAAACACTGCCCCTCTAACCATCAGTGAGGAGATTATGGGGTTTAGAGGCAGACAGACCTGGTTTATATCCTGTCTCTACCGCTTAGTAACTAATTGGCCTTGGGCAGTTATTTAAAATAAAATATAATCTACCTTCCAGAATAGAGATATAGATTAATGAGAGCCTATATATGGGCAATTATCACAGAGGATGGCACATAGAAGGCACTAAAGATGATAGTTTTCTCCTTCCCTCTGTTCATATCTTCTCCCAGATGTCCCTGATGATCTTAAATTCTCCATCTCTAAAAGTTCCCAAACTTGTTTGAAGACCCAACTTTATCCAGTTTGTGTATTTTGAAATTTAATAATGTTAGTCTCCAGGAAGGAAGCCAACTTGATGTCGCTTTATATATTCTCCTGCGGTTGGTGAATATTAAGTAGGTGATTTGGACACTTGGGTCTTTATATGTTTCATTTAGTTTTCACCAGAGCTTATTGTGACTTGAATCCATGAGATAAAGGATTCATCACTTCCATATGTTCAAATTTGACAGTGGTTTGAAGAGTCTCATTTTATGCTTCCTGGTCATTAGTTTGGCTTTGGTTTTGGCCAGCAAGCCCGTTGAAACTTATTGCATGAAACTATATAATGGTTTCTCTTAGGTTTCTATAGAAATTAGCTCCACAATATTCCCTCTGTATATAATATTTGCCAATGGTTGTTAGTACACTAATCTATATATCCTAAGTCCTAGAGCAGTAAAGACAGAGAGAAATCTTTTAATCTTCTCTCCCACCCATGCCCATTGTAATAAAGCCATTTTTTTTAAATTAAAGTGTAACTGACATAAAATATTTCAGGTATACAAACAACACCATGAGTCAGTAATTTTAAATATTGTGAAATGATCACCATTATATCTCACTACTAAACTTTCTTCTCGTGATGAAAACTTTTAAGATCTATACTCTTAGCAACTTTCAAATCTGTAATACAGTATTGTTAACTATAGTCACTACGCTGTACATCATGTCTCCATGACTTATTTTATAACTAGAAGTTTCTACCTTTTGATCCCTTCAGCCATTTTGCCCGCCCTTACCCCCCTCCACCTCTGGCAGCCACCAATCTGTTCTCTGTATCTTTGAGCTAGGGTTTTGTGTTTTAAGAGTCCACATATAAATGAGATCATGTATTAGTTGACTTTCTCTATCATGCCAGTACTTTTTTTAGAAATATACTGATGGAAAGGATTCTGGGACAACTACTCCCATCCCTATTTATTCAGTTTTATACTTCTGCCTGTCTTAATTCCCAATATTACAGCAGTATTGTTTTCTACTTTTTATTCTGGCAAGTTTGAGGTTTTTTTAGCCACAGAACACCTTAAATAAGTGTTCTTGGCCTGGACTGATAACCTAACCAACCTGTTTGGATGCAAAATACGCTCAGAGTTCCAAACCACAGATCCACAGATACATTCTTATAATACATGTTTGTAAGTTGGAGATTTCCTGTTTCCTGAACACTGTCGATGAACTCAATTCTCCCAGTTTTTAAGGGCATATAAATTCAGACGCATACATCTATGTAAGACCAGCTTCTAACCTGAATAGGGAGGATTCCAATGGACATTCATAGGTCCCAATTCTGGCCCAGGGAGGACGTAGGTGGTCAGAATGGCTGCAGTTCCATCAAGGAATTCTCCATGAATTTATAGTCTTAGAGCATTTCAACAACTCCTCGACCTAAATTTAGGGGCCGTGGCTCAGGTAGGAATGCTATGAGCATTCACAGCCCACCAACTGAGTGAGTATCTGTCCCTTATAAGTAAGAGTTTCAGTAAATATTTGCTGAGTAAATGGACTGGTAGATGAACGAATGAATGAATGAATAAATGAATGTAAATTTATCTCTGGTGTATTTCTGGAGGTATGTATGTATCTACAGACACACTTACAGAGATACACAATAGATGGCAGCTTCATTTTGAATGACACAGTTACTACACTAGCCTGAAGAATACCTCTTCAAATGTCCAAACACCTTTCTTGAGGGGCGCCTGGGTGGCTCAGTTGGTTATGTGTCTGCCTTCATCTCAGGTATGATCTCAGGGTTCTGGGATCAAGTCCATCTTAGGCTCCATGCTCAGTGGGGAGTCTGCTTCTCCCTCTGCCTGCTGCTCCCCCTGATTGTGCCTGTGCTCTCTCTTTCTGACAAATGAATAATAAAATCTTAAAAAAAAAAATTTCCTTGAGATGCCCATAAAGAAACTTCAAAAAGTGGGAAGAATCTTAAAGAATGTTCCCTTACTTTTCCTGCTGAGCTGGAGTAAACATAGAGGTTATTTATGTCAGCACCACCCACAAGGTGTACAGGTGACCATATCAGCAAATTTTTGAAAGAAAGATTTATTGTACATGTAAGGTAATGCAGAATAGCATGCCCTGAGATTGGTAAACAATACACTTACAGGTGGACTCATACAGTTTAAGACAAAGGCAAGCACAGCAGAATCTAGATCTTAAGATGGACTTACTGTTCATTGAGTCTGAGCCCTTCACTTTAAAAGAGATGTAAGAGATGTAAAATAGGTCACATAGAAAGAGAACAATCTGAACTAGAACCTGACTCTCTCTTTCCAAGGTGCTCTTCCCGTTACCACACCATCAAAACACACATAATATACATACTCTTGTGGCTAGTCAATCAATAAATATCTACTTCATGTTTACTATGTGGGAGAAACTGCAAGGTACAGGAGTAAATATCAAGAATAATATTTGATCCCTTGTGTTCACTTTCTAGAACAGGAAATCTCAAACTCAATTGTTTCCAGAGTTGGGCAAGTAGAAAGGGGCTGGGTGGTTATGAGTCAATAGGAAGTGAAGGTGCCTGGGGCAAATTGGTGAGTGCATGCCCACACCAAAGACCTTCACTTGTCTTTGGGTTTGTTTTTCAACTTAGACACTGTACTGGACCCATCAAAAATCAGAAAACATGATTGGATTTATCATTCTGGTACCAGCTTTTAACCCTTAACTAGAGGTTACAGCCTTCATTTTGCTACCAGTACCTACAAATCATAGCTAAATTTGGTTCCTTCAGATGAAGTGTAATGAAAATGTAATTTAAGGATCTTTGCGAAAAATTAAGTTTAAATTCAGTAATTCATGAGTGCTAAAGGCTTCAATTAAAGCAGATAATTTTATTTAAACAAATGGCAAATGAATTCGTTTTTGGGTGCCTGGGTGGCTCAGCTGGTTGAGCAACTGTCTTCAGCTCAGGTCATGATCCCGGGGTCCCGTGATTGAGTCCCTCGTCGGGCTCCCTGCTCAGTGGGAAGTCTGTTTCTCCCTCTGACCCTCCCACATCTCGTGTTCTCTCTTTCTCAAATAATTTTTTTTAAATCTTTAAAAAAAATGAATTCGTTTTTCTAGATGTCTTAACTGACTGCAGATAGATTATATTTTCCCTTTTTTTTTTCTTTTTTAGCAAGGATTTGAAAGATGCCATGGAAATTCTGATAGAAGAAAAAAGACATAGAATTTCCACAGCAGAGAAACTGGAAGACTATATGGATTTTGCCACCGAGTTGATTTTTGCTGAGGTACTGACCTGGATTAACCATAATTCCCACACAATATATGTACTCGACTGTGTGCAGGTTGTGTAAAGATCCCCTCTTGTAACTGTTGCATACTTCTGCTGTTTAAGTATCTGCTCTAGTACTTCTATAATGATGACTCAAAGAGCCCACTCACTGCACATTCTGGTGAGACTGACCTTTAAGATTGAAACTACTGTGTCTGCACAGCACAAAATATGAAAATGGGGGAGCCCAGAGACAGTAAATACAGATAATTAGTTAAATTTTTCTGATCTCACCTGAAGACTATTACGAAAAATGTCAATTACAGAGGTGTAATATTTATGACCTCGTTTTACTGATGTTTTTGATCCTGACTGTCCCTTCCCCTCCTTTTTGGAAGCTTTGAGTCTCTTTCCTAACTTTTCTCCCTTCTTGCAATTGTTCAGAAGCGTGGTGACCTGACAAGAGAGAATGTGAACCAATGCATACTGGAAATGCTGGTTGCAGCACCAGACACCATGTCTGTCTCTGTGTTTTTTATGCTATTTCTCATTGCAAAGCACCCTAAGGTTGAAGAGGCAATAGTGAAGGAGATCCAGACTGTTATTGGTAAGAACTTATCAAATAATAATAGAGCTTAGAAAACAATTCCTTCTGAACCTCAGCTTTTTATGTCCTAAGAATCTGATTTCAAAAAAAATCTTTATTTTAATCCAACCAGAGAATAATAAAGGTAGTCATTTTGCCACACTTGGTTATGCCAGATAGATCGCAAATCCATTCTTACTGTGTTTTTTTTTATTATAAAAACAGTGCATCCTCATTGCAAAAAAATTAAATAACACAGAGATGTATAAAGCAGAAAGTGACATTCCCTGACCCCTTCCACTCTCTTCACCAGCCTCATCTGCACTCCCCAGGGGGAACCACTGTTAATACTTTGCTGTATATTCTTCAAGGTCTTCCTTAATGTGCACTTAAATGTTCTGCCTACCCTACCAGGGTCAAATGCTTTTGTGGGTCCTTCCAGGGAACTGGCTATCATCCACAGCAGTGTTTCTGGGTTTCAAGCAATCTGTTTACAAATGAACTTCCAGTCAGTGGCAGAAGGACAAGGGGAGGATGACAACAAAGGGACAGGAATGATCAGTTTCCCTCTCCCCCCAAATCCAGTGATGCTGGACCCTTCTTCCCCCAGCCCTCTCCCCCTCCACCAGGTCCCTGCTCAGCTCTTCCTGACACCACATTTTCTGTTCTGCCTTTGCCTAAGCATCATTCTGCACGCTGCCACCCCCTTCCATACAAACACTGTCACATTTGGAGGAAATTGCTTTCTGGGGAACAAAACCAGAATTCCTTATTTGGAATGTCCTTCATGTGGATAATCTTTTTTCTTTTCTTTTCTTTTCTTTTTTTTTTTAAGAGGGAGAGCAAATGAGAGAGAGCAAGCACAGGTACCATGAGCATGGGTGGGTGGGGTTGGTGGGAAGAGGAAGAGGAAGAGGAAGAGAGAGAAAGAGATGCCTCAGGATCCTGGGCTGATTTTGATTCTGCAAGAGTAGTAACCCATTCGAGGATGTTCTGATGCAGGGCTTGATCTCATAGCTCTGGGATCATAAGGAGCCGAAATCAAGAGTCAGACGCTTAACCGACTGAGCCACCCAGGCTCCCCAACATAGATGATCTTTTTAGGAACACATTTCTGACATGTGAAGAGATATCAGTAATGATAAAGACCTTTCTCTCTTGACCTTATACAATCCCTGTGAAAAGACTTACTTGGTTGCAGAGCGGCACCATCTTTTTAAAGCCATTCGAGTGTTACTTGAAATAGTTGACAGAAAGGGGAAATTTCACAGAAGGGTTAAATATGTGAGAGAAGGTATCTACAGATGTGTTGCTGTGGATGGGAAATTACCTGGGAAGACAGATAGCAGGAAACCAGAATAACATCTAAGCCCCCAATTCCAGAATGGCTTCTCATGTGCCCCCTGTCAGGTGCTGGGTTCTGGGTCAGGCATAGGGGGACATCAGTGAATAAGGCAGAGCTATTCCTATACCTGTAGGGCTCACAGGCTGGCAGGAGAAAGAGAACTTAACAAGGAAGCCCAGTGGAGTGAAGAGAGAGCCATAGAATGATGGAGTTCAGGCAACAAGGGGAAAATTGTTCTTGAAACCATGAGCATTTAATACAATTTCCTTGAGAGGTGAAAAGTGTTTGTGCCCTATGATGTCCCCCTGACACTTCAACAAACCTTTACAAAGACGGAAAGCAGCTGAACCGTTTGTCCATGTGTTCGTGCTCCCTCCAGATATACCTACATATAATTACTTCCTAGGGAATGCCTCTGATTATCTTCTCTATCATCTTCACTTCTATCCACCCCACCCCAGATAAATGTACCCCATGAGACCCGTGAGTATTAAAAAAAAGCAGTATGCAAAGTGCAGGGCTGTTACAGTTCTCTAACCAAATGAGAACTTTTCTGAATGGCATAGTTGTATAGGAGACAAAGCTGACTGAGGACCCTGGGCTGATTTTGGTTCTGCAAAAGTGGTAACCCATTTGAGAATGCTCTGAAGCTTTGCCAATTCTGGGAGTAATCCCAGCCTCTCTGACCAGTGTCAGGCCAATCTGAAACAGTGAAAGTATCTGTCAACCCTAGCACATCCAGAGTTTAGCTGAGGCACCTGTTTTGCTCTGGTAGGGAGAGAGGTTCTTGCCACTCTACTGCAATAGGTCGTACTTGATGAGATGGAAGGAGGGACTATCAGTGATGCATTCCAGGCAGATGACTGCACAGGTGACCAGACGAGAAAATTTCATTGAAAGGGATTTAATTCACCATTTCACTTTGACTAGAGAAGGAGTGAATGTGTCCTAGAATTTAGAGGAGGATCCCAAACTCAAAGACCTCAGAGGCCAGGCAGATAAAAGTTTGAAGCAGACTGTAGGTCTATATAAAACTGCAGGTGGATGCCCCTCTAAAGGGCTCATCGGCCACTCAAGGTCAGCCCGTCACTGTCATGCAGGGATGTGGGTCCAGTATCCCCAGGTTTTCTGATTTTTCTAGAAATCCAGACTTTTCCATGAAATCTCCTAGGTTTTATAGTAATTAGCTTCAAGTCTGAATTTTTATAAAACATGCTGTGAACCAAATGACATATTCAGCCTAGGTTGCTGGTTTACATTAGAATCTAGAAAAAAAAATTATTTTCAGCCAGGAGAAGACTTTTCTGTGGAAACTATGGGAGTTTTAATGCCCATCACATATTGTAACTACCATTACCTCCTTGTCCTGTTTACCTGTTCCCACAGGTGAAAGAGATGTAAGGATTGATGATATGCAAAAATTAAAAGTGGTGGAGAACTTTATCTACGAGAGCATGCGGTACCAGCCTGTTGTGAACTTGGTCATGCGCAAAGCCTTACAGGATGATGTCATTGATGGCTACCCAGTGAAAAAGGGGACTAACATTATCCTGAATATTGGAAGAATGCATAGACTCGAGTTTTTCCCCAAGCCCAATGAATTTACTCTTGAAAACTTTGCAAAGAATGTAAGAGCTCTTCTTTAAAACTAAGCATGCCACTCTTAAAAATGTCAACTGTTAAATCCTCTCTGGGTCTGTGTTTGCACCATGTACATTTCATTCTATTTACTTGTTTCCCTCTCTTGCCTCACCAGAAGCACATGTTTCCTCTAGCTTAGGACAAGACTACCGTCCTCAAGCCAACAATGCTGGGTCTCCAGCTCTGAGAAGCATCCACATGGTGGCCACACAATGGGTCAAAGGTCCAGCCCTTAATTTGGCTGCCATGAGACAAATGTTGTTTAACCCAACTACTTTCCCATTTCAACTTGTCCCTTTGTAACCATGTAGATCCAACTCTGGTACCACGTAAGCAAAGGAAAATCCAGTTGTGCTTCAGATGGAAATCAAACGAGACCAAGAGATTTAGCTTTTACAGTCTGCCTTTGGTTAGCCAAATGGCCCAATGAACCCTAGTTCCCATTCTAAATGGAATTCAGTACCTAGAAGAGCTTCAGCTTTTTCTATCACTGAAATATAGTGTAGATTCTGCTTCAGTTATGTCAAATTTTAGGCAATGATGTTTATTAACCAAAATTTTCCAGATATTTCCCTCATCCTCCTCTTTTTCCATTTGCATATGATGTATAAATCTGATCCCAATTAATCCAGTTCTCTAATTCATTCTGTTTCTATGTGATCAACCCATGCTATATTGACAACGGGTCAACAAAAATTTATTGAACATATACTATGCCCCAGGTACTATGTAAACACAGATGGTAACAAGACAGACAGATGTGGTCCCCATTAATTTTTTGCATATCTAAAAATATTTGGATGCTTGACACTAATGGGCCAGGAGTCAACATCTTTGCACAAAAAAAACAATCTTTGCCTTGGTGAAATGCAGTAGAGTAATAAAGCTGTGGTTATCACACAGACCTAGTTGAGTATGCTAACATTGGCTGTAATAACATGATGTGCATTGCTTTATCCCAGCAAATTAATGTGAAAAGCAAAAGCAGGGACTGTCCAAGTTGGGCATATATCACGGGGTGAATCATACTGGATAAAAAAAAGAACTTATTTGAGTTACACTCATGCATCTCAGTGAAGGAACAGTATGGTTTGGACCCTATAACAGCATTCTGACCAATTGGTGGTTTCAGGGTGAATCAAAGAGAGACTGCATGACTCTGGCTAACTGTCTGATCATTTTCATAGGTTCCCTACAGGTATTTTCAGCCTTTTGGTTTTGGGCCCCGTAGCTGTGCAGGAAAATACATCGCCATGGTGATGATGAAAGTTGTCCTGGTTACACTTCTGAGACGATTCCACGTGCAGACATTGCAAGGAGAGTGTGTTGAAAGTTTACGGAAAACATATGGCTTGTCCTTACACCCAGATGAAACTAGCAACTTGCTGGATATGGTTTTTATCCCAAGAAATTCAGAAAAGTGCCTCAAACACTAAAGAAAATTGATCAGTACCTACTCTGGAGCATTTCTCATCAGTAGTTCACATGAAAATCGTCCGTCTTTACCAGGTAGTGTCATCCTCACAATGAACATTTGGTGGCCTGTGCCATTTTATAGGCATACCTCATATGGATTGTCAGCAAGTCAGGAGACATTGCTCACCTGTTCTTTCCAAATCAGAGAACAAGATTTCCGGAGAAAATAGAGGCCAAGAGTTTATAGGGAAAATAGTCAATCCCACAAAACATGCTTTGGAAAAAGTAGGTCATCAGCAAAACTTATGTCCTCCTTCCCACAAAATCTCCACTGCCCTGCCCCAAGAGCACTTTAATGTCTGGGGCAGAAACACTCAAGTCCATTAGAAAGGCCAGCCTGATGTCCAGGTACTTAGGGCCCAACATACCTGCTAATGTGAATAGAAGTATTTTGATTTAGTTTTCAGTGGTAAGCTCCATGACATTCATATTCTTTGGAGAAGTGCTTACAAATTCAACATTTGATGTTTCCTATGAATTATTCAATTAACTCTTGATTACCCACAGGTGACCTGTCTGTGGCAAAAGTTAAATAGGTGACTATCCTTTCCCAGGGTCTCAATTTATGCCTCAGCCACTCAATCCCACTTCAATAGACACAGATTTGGGTAATATAAAGTAACTTAGTAATAGCCTGAGTAAAATATAATCAGGACCACACATCTGCTGTAGGAAAAGAAAAATCACCCAGTGCATTTCAAATTCAAATAAAAATTCTTTTCTTCATGTTTGCATCATTGCTTAGCTCCACTAGTGCTAGTCAAGAGATAACTTTAAATAATGGTATCTATGAACTCTTACAATGGCCCCAATGATTTGAGAGAGGAGAGCTCCTTTACATCTACATCTAATTCCACAACCTAGTGGGTTCAAACCCATTCCAACCTCTTTCTCCCTCAACAGTTTCCCCCTCTCTTTCTTTCCGTGATTCCAAAGTTAACAGCAACAGATCAGTAGAGAACTTGGTCAGGGTAGAGGTCTTGCAATCATCTTTTATCCTACCTCGAATTTAATAGTTACTTCAGAGATTTAACAGCTATTGAGTTTATTGAATCATTATACATAGCCACGGATAAAATGCACACCTTGTAAATTAGTTCTTTAAAGAGAATCAAGTATGGAGCCCCGGGTGGCTCAGTCAGTTAAGCATCTGACTCTCGGTTTCGGTTCAGGTCATGATCTCAGGGTTGTGAGATCGAGCCACGTGTCGGGCTCCATGCTGGGTGTGGAGCCTGTTTAAGATAACTTCTCTCCCTCTCCTTCTGCTCCTCTCCCCACTCTTGTGTGCTCTCACTCTAAAATAAATAAGGAATAATAAAAATTTTAAAAAATAAAGAATCAAGTAGACAAGTTAATTTTCCAAATACCACTTTACTTGTGTTAATAGCCAATATGATTGTATCTACTGAATGCCATTTAAAAATTGTAAACTCATTTACAAGTAAGTAAATGTTTGCTATTGAGTTAAGTGCCATCTCAACATTTGAATATTTTTTTCATCCTATTGTTTGGTAATAGGACAACAGATGAGAATAAAATGAGAGTATAAGAACCTTGAGAGTAGGAGCTCTTTTATTTCTTTTGTAATCCATCCCAATCCCCCATTCTGATTCTGTATATTTACCCTGGAAGAAGGATATCACTGAACAGACACTCTTGCTTATACATAATTTAAGTGGCCTCAGAATCCAAGTAAAGGGGAGGCAGGTATTCTAAGAATTCAAGGATAGGTTTTAGTAAAGAAGGAAATATTTGAACTTGGAACAATATGGATCATTTATATGGCTTAAACATACACAGAAATATACCTGTATACCTGGATATGTCCATAGTCAGGTCTGGACAATCATCCAAATAATTCAGACTCCAGTAAGAAAGGACAGGATTTTATAGTTAATGTACCCAAGTTAATTCACTTGATGACTATAAACACACACTTTACTTGGCCTCTAGCTGGAGCTGCAGGGTAGAGGAAAACAGACTTCAGACAGTATACTTTGCCCATCCAGTTCCCTTGGAACATCTACTGTATTTTGTATGTATGCATGTAGCCAAGGCCAATGTTTACACAGTCAAAGTCAAATGGAAGGTTTATATAGTTATACAGAGATATTGTAGATACAAAAATATGCTGGGGAAAAGCTAGATATGGGGGTGGGGGACAAGGGAAGGATAGGAAGAGGGAAAGTGTTGGTTTGAATGACCCAAGAAGACTCCCAAAATCAAATTATCCTGGTAGTCATTCAACTTTTCATTCTGCTTGGTCTGTACTAACAACCCTCATATGTTTGTACAGGCTTTGCTTAAGGAATTGGGAGTATCATTGATTTTTCATTAGGTTGATCAACATATATTTGAAAATCCTGTTTTCAGAATTTTGCCTCATTGTTATGTACTTAATTATCATCTTGAATGTGCTGTGGATTCAACTTTTACCAGTTTTCAAAGAAATTGTCAGTGAAATGCATGTATAAAGACTCTATTGTGGTGAAATCATGAAGACAGTTGTGCCCTCCTATCTTCAGGTGTACTGGACACTGCTCCCTCTGCTGTCATTGACATCCCACTTTTTTCTCATCCAAGGAGAAAATAATGCCATACGGATCATCCCACATATTGAGAAATGTCAGTTGGAAGTTGTCACTTTTATTTCTAAATAGCACCTTTGGCTAATCAAGGTGCTAATATTCTCATAAGTGTATGGCATTGGCCCACTAGAAAGAATACAAGCTGAACCCTCCTCAGTCTCCTGTATCATCTGGGCTCTGTGACTGAATCTTTCACCCATACTTGCAGAAGGATATGCTCAATTAAATTCCGTCAAAGTAATGAATGACATGGAATTTGTGATACTTTAGTTGGACTTAGCTCACGAAAAGCAAAGTTAAAGGCTGAACTCTCCAGGGCTCAACAGATAGGGCTTACCTGAGTGAACGCCCTCATTTCTTTTCTGCAGCTCTTTGCAGATGTTGGCCAATGTCTAGGGAGCCAATGGCCATACCCTCTTTCCACCAGCTCAACCAAACAGGATGCATTCACACAAATCAACCTGGTCCAAGTCCAGCCTGTTAAGTATACTCTGCCCTTCTTTTTCTATCAAGAAAGCATTTTAAAGCATAAAACAAATGGGAATCATTATAAGAATATAATTATAAAAATTACTATAAGAATAACCTTGAATCCACTCTTATTATAACCAAATGTAAACGTTTCACAAACTTCAGTATTTTTAATTTACAGTAGTCCCCCTTTATCCATGGTTTCACTCTGCACCATTTCAGAGACCCACGGTCAACAGCAGTGAGGGAGAAGATGATCCTTCGCAAGTACTATGAGAAGGTCAACAGTAGCCTAACACTGTGTCACGGTGCCTGCATCACTCACCTCATTTCTGCTCACCATGCCGGCATTTTATCATCTCACACCATCACAAGAAGAAGGGTTCATACAGTATAGTGAGATCTTTTGAGAAAGAGTGAAACCACTTTCATACAACTCATATCACAATCTGTTGTCAAAATTGTTCTCTTTTATTACTAACTATTGTTGTTAATCTTTTACTGTGCTTAATTTATAAGTTAAACTTTATCATAGAGATGTCTGTACAGGAAGAAAACAGTATGTATAGGGTTTGGTACTATCTGTGGTTTCAGGCATCCACTGTGGGTCTTGGACGGCATCCCACATGGATAGTGTGGACTACTGTATTAGTAAAATATTTCTTATGATGACGATCTGAAATTACAAGACCTAGAGGTTGAGCCTGTGGCCCAAGTGGTTTTTTAAATTCCTTTCAGCTCTATGACCTCCTAAATAAGGAGGCAATAAAGCCTCGAATCTAGGCTTGGCCTTTTCTTAAATGTATAGTTGGGGCAAGCTGTTCAATCTCTCCATACCTCAGTTTTCTCATCAATCCAATGGGGATAATAATTACTTCAGAAGGTTCCTGTAAGGCTTATAAGAGATGATTCATGTGAAGCTGTTAGGACAGTGTCTGGTACAGGACAACTTCTCAATAAGCATAGGCACAATAATGATGCTGCTCAGCAGTTATGTTGACTCATGACACCCTCAAACATTTTCACATGCAGTAGAGAGGGCAGAAGATGTGCCAGATGCTTTTACATCCATTTCCCATTTTAAGCTTCATGACGACTCTCACATTAGTATGATTGCTCCAGGAAGCCCCACATTGTATTCATGAGAACAGAAACCCAGGGAGTTTGGGAGACTTGCCCTCAAGTCCACCACTCCTTCCAAAGCCCTTGGCCCCTTCATCGAGCTTCCCCTTTGCAACAGGACTCACTGCTGGAAGGCTGAGAAGGACAGTCAGTTTCCCAGCTCTCCCATCTTGTGATGTTAGGCAAGCCCCTTTTGAGACTTGTCATTCCTTGTCTCCTTACCGAAGAAATATGACACAGGAAATATATCAGTTTCTTCATCCATAAAATCTGGATGATTCTGCCTTACTCACCCCACACACAGGTATGTTTGGAGAATCTTTCTCAAAAAGAGATAGTCCATGGGAAAGCGCTATAAAATTTCTCTTAGTATAAGGTGGGGGATCTATTCCCCAACCACTAGGAACATTTCTAGTTTTGCACAATTTCAATTCCTTTCAGCTGCAGTACTGTGTAAAAAAGAGAGCGGAAGAAAAAAAATAGTAATTTACTATAACCACACAGTAGGCAAACTGGACCTTATGATGGCCACAAAATCATCTCTATTTTGGCCAAATTGGAAAAGGCTAAGAAGCCGACTATGGTGGACAGCTGTTAAGGAAATTCTACATTTGGCAAGGATTCCAGATATGAATGAACTTTTCAGTCTTTCATTACTTCCAAATTGTTATGTGTTTGGCATGGAGGAAACCCAACCAGACACAGTGCATACAAGCTTCCTCTGCTAGCCTATTTGAGCTCAGATGGATAAGTAGCTGAACACAATACCCCTTTGCCTCCTTCCCACTCCAGGTTATTGTGAAAGTGTGTTTCTTCTTTCAGACCAAGAAAACAAGAATGACTGCATTTACTTTCTTATTCTTCTAAGTTCTTTATATTCTCACTTAATTCTCCCAGCAATACTATGAAGCAAGTATTATCCTCATTTCCAGAAAAAGTCACCCAGCCATCCAGCCACGTATACCCCTTTGCTACCTGCTTGCTAGAGTTTCCCTCTCATACCTGTACATCCCCAACACACATGGTGAGTGTCTCAAGTTCTCTTATCAAAACCTATTCTCAAAAAAATTTTTTAAGTCTGCTTTTAACCAATCTGTTTTCTTTAAGATTTTATTTTTAAATAATCACTACATCTAATGTGGGACTTAAACTCACAACCCTGAGATCAACAGTCATGTACTCC